GTGATACTGCCTCAGAAACCCAAGGAGGGGTCGCTATGAGTCAGGTCCGACTCGACGACACACAACAACAACAACAATAAGAAACATTTTACATAGAAGTTAGAAAAAAACTATTGGGGAAATGAAGCCAATTAGAAATATGGAGTATGAAGAAGAGATGGCTTTGAGATTATTTACACCCTTGGAGCCTGCCACACCTAAAGTAAGACCACTACTGGCCAAAGAATTGTATGGATCAAGATACTTCCTTTTTTAATTTAACATATTTAACTTTGTTTTTGTTGTTTACAATTAAAAGTGTGCTGACTAATATAAGAGTCAGAGGTAAATGGAAATTCAGCAAGTTATCTGTGAAGAAGGTCGATTACACATTTAAAGGGCTTGGTCTTCAAACTGTCTTTAATGCATGGCCATTTTCTACTAGACTTTGTGAGAGTAGTGATAACTAGCTGTTCATTTACACATACAGTGCTTAGCATACAATGAGCCTGGCATATAGGCACTGTTCTGTAAGTCTTTTGGAGAACAAATGAATAGACTGAGTGTTAAATGTTTGTGTAGCAAGGAGAAGGAACAGTGAAGAAGGTGAAGAAACCAAGGATTACTCCAAGCTGGATATGTTAGCCAGAATTTTCCAAGGTGTGTTCCCAGGGTATCTAATTCAACTGTATGTTAGTAGGTATTTTTCTGAAATTAGCAACGATATATTGCTTAGCACAGTTCCTGGAATGTAGTAAATAGTAAATATAATTTCTATGTATGAGTGCTTAGTGGCAGATTCCTCTTGAATGGCTAACAAGTGGCTAAACTTATTTTGTTGCATAGTGTTTGGTTTGCACCATTTCTGAAATCCTCCTTACTGCCTAGAACATTCATTCTCACTCTACTTTATTCTCTGACTAGTGCCAAAATCATCTCATGCTGTGCTAATCAAAATGCTGGTCCCTAAACTGACCCATCACCACCTAAAGAGTTTGCTCCAGAATATCTGTCAGTGCAGTCCTTTCTTCATCCTCAAAAATGTCAAGAGAACTTAGCAGTGTGCTTAATGGTGTGGTAGATTTATCTTCTCAATAGAGCTTCTTCTTGTCAATGACCAGTAACAAAGGATTTATTGACCTTCATACTGACTATAGAACAATATCAAATTATTATCAGGAGCAGCTAGGAATAACCTGAGGACTTGAGGCTAAACACTCGGAAATCTTTGTCTTGTAAAGCTCCTCCTCACTAGTGGAACTAGAGACAACTTATAGTGTGTGTGTGTGAGAGAGAGAGAGAGAGAGAGAATGAGTGTGTGAGTGTATTTGAAATTTCTCACTCTAAGTTGCAGTTCACAATGATTCTGAATCTAGTATTCTTAAGTTTATTTGGTATAATTTGATTGCCTAAACTGAATTTGTTCATAGTCAGTTCCACACATACATGACATTCCCACCATAGCTCAGCTCTCCATCACATTTACCTCATTAGATTATGTAAGCTGCTTACAAAAGCACATGTTCATTTCTACAGGTTTCTTGCAATAAATATTTGAGTAGAACACACATATACTATTCATTCTGGCTTTTTTTTTTTCTTTCATTGACTATGGATTTATTTTGTTAGGTCTTCTCCCTCCAACTAGTCAGAATCCAGGCTGCTCCTTTAGAAACTTACGTCCTTTATAGCTACCACAGTAGATGAGTGGTCATTTTCTGTTTAAGAAGGGATCTTTCCAGAGAGATCTTCTCTAGGTAGAATAAAGATAGATACCCATATGGACTCACTCCTCTGCCCTTAGGATGAGGGGATGAAGTTCTGACCTAAAAGCAGTAAACCATGTCATCCCATAGCCACGATTTTGTCCTAGACACATGGACTTTATATCATCTCTAGATGAGATGACTCGAACCCTTTTATGTCAAAGTGGAACAGTCTGTCCTTCCATCTGTACTCCTCTCCTTCATTCAGTCTTACTGACCTCTTAGTATTTATTGGCATTGAGTCGGACCCGACACATAGTGACCCCTCCTTGGGTTTCCGAGGCAGTATCACTATGGAAGTAGATTGCCCAACCTTTCTTCAGAGGAGTGGCTGGTGGGTTTGAACCACCAGCCTTCTGGTTAGCAGTCAACTGCCTTAAGCACCATGCTACCAGAGCTCCCTTAGTATTTCATGAATGTGCTTAATTATCATTTGTTGTCCATTTATTTTGTTCTGACAAAGACAGATATTCACCTTTACAATTTTTCAGGTAGTCAAAATGTATATAATAGATTATGAAATAGTAGAGGGAAAATCAGTGTTAGAACTCTGAAGTTTTTCTTATATTCCAGATTATAAAGAGCCACAAATAAGAAAGAAAGTTTATCTTTGATCAGATTCTTTGATATTTCTCTTACCAAATAGAAATTATATTAATAATTTATCAAGTGGATTTTCTATGCAAGTATCATGCTGAGCTGATGGGTGATATAATTTACCTTGATATTCACAATTTATGATGTCAGTTTTATTATTCTGATTTTAAAGATGAAAAAAAACTGAGATTGAGATCTTAAATAACTCTACTAAGTTTATTCACCTAGAAGGTAAATCTGGAGTTTTGGATCATGTCTATTTATCTTCCAGGACAATATTCTTAAATATTAACCTATAATGTTTACCAATGATACCAAATGAGTACATGAGAAAGGCCAATTTCCATAGCCACCTGAATAAATGCAATCTTCTCTAATTCATTCTTGATTAATATTTTATATTAACCCAGGTGTATTTCTAGAAGCCTGCATATAGGGAATATATGTGTGCATTGTTACATGTCTGTCCATTCTAATAATCTAATGGTACAGATCATTCCTCTGGACTCCAGGTAGGAAATATAATGCTTGACTCAATTACTATATATCAGCAAAAGGGAAACAAATTCTTATTCAATCTAAACTGTATTAAATAGCACACATCATTATTTATTGAAAGCATAATGGGAAAATTAATCAACATGTCACCTCTGTGGGGATTTTTCACAGCTGGACGCTTTCCGAAATACAAAATTTTGTAACGATTACACCTCTTCTATATACTAGTATTTAACTATTTATAAATAAATGCCAGCTTTGGGATGGTTGAGGGATTTCGGGGTGGAAGTCAACTATCAAACATATTCAGAGCTTCCTTCCCCTCATCTTCTTCCAGGCCCTGGTGTCATATTGAGAACTTATAATTAGGCCCTACTGCCAAGTCTGCCAAGAATTTATTTTCAATTTTCTTCCTTGGCTATCTCAGATACTTCAAATTACATATATCCAAACTGTAGGAAACATGCTATCCTAAACATACTAGGGATTGATTTTTCCAACTTTGTCTAATCTTTTTTTTTAATTTAAACATTGTAACAGTTAACTGGAATCAACAAGAGAACTTAGCTCAGAAATTTCCATCAGAGATTTTTGCTATTCATCAAGCTTTTATTACAAGTAGGGTATGGTGTTGGGAATTTTAATATTCATCCCATCTAATTTTCTTGATCACTCTTACAACTTAGGTACTATTGACATCTTTGTAGGGATGAAGAAACTAATACTTACAATGGTTTATTAAATGTACAATAGTACATTTAATAAAATATACTATTCAACATGCAGAGAGAAAGTGTGAACACTGAACAGTACCATAATAGAAATTTCTCTATTCTGTCCTTTTCAAAAATCATCTTTAACTGTAACATGACTTGTATTAGGCAGCAAGATGGCAACAACCATGGCTGCCCTGTGTATTTTCACATACATATACTATCTCTGATCACTCACCACTCATCTGTCAGTTTGTCATACTATTGTGGCTTGCATGTTGCTATGAGGATGGAAGCTATGCCACCAGTATTTGAAATACCTGCAGGGTCTTCTCTGGTGGACAGCTTTCAGCAGAACTTTGAGGCTAAGATAGCATGGAAAGGAGAAAGGGACCATCCACTTCTGAAAAATTTGGCCAGTGAAAGCCCTATGAATAACAGTGAACCACTGTCTGATACATTACTGGAAAGCTTGATGAATATCTCTGCAACATTGTCTGATATAGTGCCCATATATGAGCCTCTCAGGCTAGAAGGCACTCAAATTACAACTGAAAAAGAGCTGCCTCCTCAAAGTAGACTCGACGGCATATAACAACAACAACAACCTCAAAGTAGAGCTGACTTTGATATAGATGGAGTAAAGCTTTTGGGAGCTCCATTTGCTGATGGAGCATTACTCAGAATGGGAAGAAACAGCTGCAAGCATCCATTAATAATCAAAATGTGGAATGTACAAAGTATGACTTTAGGAAATTGGAAGTTGTAAAAAAATAAAATGGAACACATAATGATCATTATCCTATGCATCAGTGAGCTCAAATGGACTGATTTGGGCCATTTTGAGTCAGAAAACCATATGGCCTACTATGCTGAGAATGAAAAATTAAAGAAGAATGGCACCTTATTCATCATCATAAACACTATTTCAAGATCTATCCTGAAGTACAATGCTGTCTGTGATAGGATAATATCATGTTCTTACAAGGAAGACCAGTTAATACTACTATTATTCAAATTTTGTACCAACCACTAAAGCCAAAGATGAAGAAATTGAAGATTTTCACCACCTTCTGCAGTCTGAAAGTGATCAAAGATGCCATCAGGATGTATTTCTTATTACTGGTGATTGGAATGAGAAAGTTGGAAGCAAAGAGGAACCATCAGTAGTTGAAAAATTTGGTGTTAGGGAGAGAAAAGATGCAGAAAATTGCATGAAAGAATTTTGCAAGACCAATGACTTATTCATTGCAAATACCTTTTTTTCAACAACATAAATGGTGGGTATACACATCGACCTTGCCAAATGGAATACACAGGAATCAGATCGACTACAACTGTGGCAAGAGGCTATGGGGAAGCTGAATATCTTCAGCCAAAACAAGGCCAGAAGCTGATGATGGAATAGAACTTCAACTGCTCATAAGCAAGTTCAAATTGAAACTACAGAAAAATTAAAACAAGTCCATGAGAGTCAAAATATGACCTTGATTATATCCCACCTGAATTTAGAGACTATCTGAAGAATAGATCTGAAGCTTTGAAACAATGACCAAAAACCAGATGAGATATGAGATGGCATCAAGAACATCATTCATGGAGAAAGCACAAGATCATTAAAAAGACAGGAAAGGAAGGAAAGACCAAAA